CGCAGAATTTTCCTGGTGAAATCAAACTTTACTGAAGTTCTCAGAATTTTCATGACGTTCGCCGCCTTAATGTTTTTGAAATTCACAAAAAATTTTTACTTGAGCAAAATTTTCCTAATGTTCGTAGACTTAATTGAAGTTGACAGATTTTTCCAAAAATTTTGCAGATCTTTCCAAAACTTTTCTGAAAGTGTAGATATTTTCTGAGGTTCGCCAAATTTTCCTGAAGCTTACCAACATCACTGAAATTTGCACAATACTTTTAAAGTTTTTAGAATTTCCCAGAAAATCCCGGACTTCCCATAGGTTCGCAAATTTCCGTGAAGCTCACAGACTTTCTATAATTTAGTACAATTTTCTCAAGTTGCACAACTTTGAAGGACTTCCTTAAAGTTCACGGACTTCTCTGAAGCTCCCAGACTGCTTTAAAGCTCCCAGATTTTCCCTGAAATTTGCAAAATTTTCGTGAAATTTGCAGATCTTTCCAAAAAATTTACTGAACTTTCCTAAAGTTGGTAGAATTTTCCTGAAGCTCGTAGAATTTTCCTGAAGTTCTTGAGATGTTTCTGAACTTTTCAAATTTTTCCAAAAATTCATTAATATTTGCCGAAGTTCGTAGAATTTTCCTGAAGCTTACCGACATCACTGAAATTGGCAGAATACTTTGAAAGTTCGCATAATTACCTAGAAATTCGCAAACTTACCGTAAGTTTGCACTTTTTCCTGTAGCTCGCAGAATTTCCATAATTTAGTACAATTTTCTGAAATTTCAAAAAGTTGACATAATTCTTAGAATTTCACAGACTTTTCTGAAGTTCCCAGATTTTCGCGAAATTTAAAAACAAATCGGAATTTTCAGAACTTTTTAAAAATATACAGAATTTTCCTGAAGCTCGCACAATTTTCCTGGAGGTCTTGAAATTTTTCTGAACTTTTCAAAACATTTCAGAAATGCTGAAGTTCACAGAATGTTCCTGAAGTTCACTGACGTTACTGAAATCGGAAAAAATTTTTTGAAGTTCGCAGAATTCACCGCAAAATTCCGCGAATATTGCAGAATTTCTATAGTTAAGTAGAATTGACTGAAGTGTCGCAAAGTTTACATATTTCTTCGAAGTTCACATACTTCGCTGAAGTTTGCAGATTTTCCTAAAATTTGGAGTATTTTCATGAAGTTTTCAGAACTTCCAAAAATTTGTTAAACCAAGAAGTTGTCCAGAAAGTCACCTTGAGTTCTTGAATTTCCTCTGATCTGTTCAATACATTCCAGAAACTCGTAGAAATTTTCTGAAGTTCAAAGAATTTTCCTGAAGCTCACCCATATAGGGTAGAATATTTTTGTAGTTTGCAGAATTTCCCAGAAATTTGCAGACTTCACATAGGTTCAGAAATTTTCGTGATGCTTGCAGACTTTCCTTAATTAAATACATTTGGCTGAAGTTTCACATAGTTTAAAGAATTTTTTTTGAAGTTTACAGACCACCGTGAAGTTCCAAGAATTCGATAAATTCCCAGATTTTTCGTGAAATTTGCAGAATTTTCATAAAGCTTACACAGCTCTCCAAAAATTTGCTGATACATTCCAGAAATTCTATGAAATTTTCTGGACTCATGAACTTTACTGCAATTGGCAGAATACTTTTGAAATTCGCAGAATTTCCCATAAATTCGTGAACTTCCCATAGGTTCGAAAATTTCCGTGATGCTCGACTTTCTATAATTTAGTACAATTTTCAAACTTCCCTGAAGTTCACAGACTTCCCTGAAGTTCCCAGACTTCCTTGGACTTTCAAGATTTTTCCTGAAATTTGCATAATTTTCCTGGAGTTTATAAAAAAAATCTGATATTTTCAATCATTTCCAGAAATTCGATGAAATTTACTGAAGTTCTCAGATTTTTCCTAAAGCTCACCGACTTCACTGGAATTGGCAGAATACTTTTGAAGTTCGCAGAATTTCCCATAAATTCACAGACTTCCCATAGGTTCGAAAACGTTCGTGATGCTTAACTTTCTATAATTTAGTACAATTTTCAAACTTCCATGAAGTTCACAGAATTCTCTGAAGTTGTCAGACTTTCCTAGAATTCCCAAATTTTTCCTTAAATTTGCAGAATTTTCCTGTAGTTTGTAGAATTTTAAGAAAATTTCATCATTTTCCTGAAATTTGCTAAGTTTTTGTGGAGTTTATAAAAAAAATTCTGATATATTCAATAATTTCCAGAAATTCGGTTTAATTTGCTGAAGTTCATAGAATTTTCCTGAAGCTCGCCAAATTTACTGAAATTGACAGAATACTTTTGTAGTACGCAGACTTTCCATAATTAAGTACATTTTGCTGAAGTTTCACAAAATTTACAGAATCTTTTTGAAGTTCACAGACCTCCCTGAAGCTCCCAGACTTTCTGAAATTCCCAGATTTTTGGTGAAATTTTGTAGAATTTTCATAAAGCTTACACAACTCTCCAAAATTTTCTGAACGTTCCTGAAATCCGCTAAATTTTCCTGGAGTTCTAAAAAAAATCTGATGTTTTCAATACATTCCAGAAATTCTATGAAATTTTCTGGAGTTCACAGAATTTTTCGGAAGCTCAGTGACTTCACTGAAACTGGCAGAATACTTTTGAGGTTCGCAGAATTTCCTATAAATTCGCGGACTTTCCATAGGTTCGAAAACGTTCGTGATGCTCGAATTTTTTTTATAATTTAGTACAATTTTCAAACTTCCAGCTTACAGACTGCTATAAAGTTCCCAGACTTCCCTTAGATTTTCAGATTTTTCCTAAAGTTTGCAAAATTTTCTTGAAGTTTGCAGAATTTTATAAAAATTCAGAATCCTAAATTCCTAAAATTCGCTAAATTTTCCTGGAGTTTATTAAAAAAAATCTGACCTTTTCAATCATTTCCAGAAATTCGATGAAATTTACTGAAGTTTGAAGAATTTTCCTAAAGCTAACCGACTTCACTGAAATTGGCAGCATACTTTTGAAGTTCGCAGCATTTCCCATAAATTTGCGGACTTCCCATAGGTTCAAAAACGTCCGTGATGCTCGATTTTCTATAATTTAGTACAATTTTCAAACTTCCATGAAGTTAACAAAATTCCCTGAAGTTGTCAGACTTCCCTGGAATTCCCAGATTTATCCTGAAATGTGCAGTTCGCGGAATTTCCTATAAATTCGCGGACTTTTTTTATAGGTTCGAAAATTTCCGTGATGCTCGATTTTTTTTTGAATAATTTAGTACAATTTTTAAACTTCCAGTTCACAGACTTCCATGAAATTCCCAGACTTCCCTTAGACTTTCAGATTTTTCCAAAAGTTTGCAAAATTTTATTGAAGTTTGAAGTCCTGAAATTCGCAAAATTTTCCTGGAGTTAATAAAAAAAAAAACTAATATTTTCAATCATTTCCAGAAATTTGAAGAAATTTACTTAAGTTCGAAGAATTTTCCTGAAGCTCACCGACTTCACTGAAATTGGCAGAATACATTTGAAGTTCGTCGAATTTACCATAAATTCGCGGTCTTCCCATAGGTTCGCAAATTTCCATGAAGCTCGCAAAAATTATATAATTTATTAAAATTATCTGAAGTTTCACAGAGTTTACAGAATTCTTTGAAGTTCCCAGATTTTTACTAAAATTTGCAGAAATTTCATGAAGTTTACAGAATTTTCCAGAAATTCACGGAGTTTTTCTGGAGTTCTCAAAATGTTTCTGATCTCACGTGAGAAATACTTTATATATAGGGGAAATGGATGTAATTTCGGCATAAATGCCCCTAATTTGGGCCCATACATACAATTCAGCAATCGACTTAATTTTCAATAGCGACCAAAATATCCATTAGTACCATCCCAATAACGCGTTCATCTAGATAAAATTGATAAATAACAGATTTTTAGCGATGGGCCAATCTTAGATCCATAGGCCAACATCAGAGCCATTTCCCCTCCGTCATGAAACCTCGGTTGATGTGTTCGATGAAAGACGAAACTATCAAAGTCGAGTGCTCTTTCGCTCGTCCGCTTCATCGAAGCTTGAAAGAAAGACGAATGAAGCGACGGTAGAAAGAGAGAACGTTTGAAAATTTGTTTGTGGATGCTGAGTGAGGTATTAGAATGCTGCGAAGGGACTCGACTTCAACAGAAATCGTTGCATCGATTTTATTGATTGATATACGTACACGGAGAAAAATAGTACCCAAAATTTGAGCTCTATTTATTTAATTTTGAGTTGAGCCTCTCACTTGCACTCGTTACCCTAGCAGCACACTTGTCATTTAACAGTTGTGGTTACTTGTATGCACCTTATTTCAGTCACAATCAAGATGCAGCAACCTATTTTGATAGATGTGTGTTGCTTGGGTATTGTTGTCAAAAAAGAAACGAGAGTTTCGACCCAACGATATAGTTCAGCCCAATAAGTTACTTTTGAGTAAATTGCATGCTCTCAAATTTACATGAATTAAACTTAATTTTGGGTAGAATATATTTACTTAAGATTAAGATTTTTTGCTGGTGTCAAAAGAAAAATTTTGGTTATTGGGCTGAAGCCGGGAAATGAGGGAAAAGTGCTAAATTTTGGGTAGTTTTTCATCTCCGTGTATGTCCGGTACTGTAGATTGCATATTTTAACAATTACTCTCAACCAATTCAATCGTTTGATTATTCTATATCCGAACGCAATTGCACAACAATCATCAACGATATTGCCTTACCATGTCATAAACATCCAACGCATTCACCACAAACAACACAAAAGCAGCATTTGTCAGGCCGATATTAATAACTCAATTAGGGGCAAGAGGGGCATAGTGAACATAATGAGTATCCCGCCTTCTAGTCATAAACTTCTAATTGTCCGAAACAAATTAATTGGTAGTAGGCTCAATAACACCATTGCAATGATTAATGGCCAATTTAAGAAATTCCCCACCTGTTCACTGTGTCCCTCCTTCCCTAAATTCGAAATAAACTCGGCCGCCAGCCTACAAACTTACCTGGACCGCAGCACTTGATTGTCCAGCAGATGGCTCTTGCTACTGATGCCGTCCCCCCGCGGTTCGCACACCCGTACATGTAGGGCCGCCTTGCAGTGGTGGAACTCCGTAAAATGTCTGGAACAATCGAAACCTCAACTACACAAACTGCATACGCGTACGTGTACTTACATGTAATTCAAGCTGGTGAGGTTTTCCAGCACTCGTCCGTCTATCCGGGTGAATTTATTCCCCTTTAGGTTCCTGTAGAAATACGGAGGGTGTTACTCATTCGATCCGATCTTTGGAGAAGCTCAGACTTGACAACTAGTTGTTATCCTCAATCTTAATTTACTTGCCAGTTTGCTGGCTAATATTGCCTCCGTTTACTTACATGGTAGTGAGATTGTAGATGCCGGCAAAGGCGCCAAGCTGGAAGTGGCTAATTTCGTTGTCATTTAAAAATCTGAGACAAGAAACATGTATCGGAGAGAGAAGTCAGTCGGTCGAGATTAAATGTGACTTTACAGATACTCACAATCCCAGTAAACTCGGTAGGTTACCGTAGGTGTTGTTCGCCACCAGCCGCAGTCGGTTCTCGGAGAGATAGAGATGCTCCAGCGAGGGCAAATCCAGCGCACCAGCGGTGACGGTGCGAATTTGGTTCCGGGCCACCGACAGCGTCCGCAGTGCGGCTAGCGGTGGGATCATTCCCGGATCCAGTTTCGTTAGTTTGTTGTTGTTGAGGTATCTGGGGTAACATTTGCACTCTGATTATTTCGGTAGTATGCAAATTACTGAAATTGTGCTAATCAACTTCGACAGACTAAGCATGTAGCAAACCAACCCGGTTTGAATGTTCTGGATCGAGTGTTATCCAATCGATGGCAAGGAAACTTTAATTTGAATCTTATGCAATCACTTTACCATGGAACTCGTTATCGAAGAAACTAATTAGCATAGTCTGACGATAAATGTCGAGCTGCGGAGGAAATCGAGAATATTCCGATAACGACACGCGCCTAGGCCGATAGGCTGGCAGAAAGCGAAACGATTAAAAATCATAAATGTGATTCTCAGAAAACTACACTTTGTCTGGATGATCGAAATCATTTACAAATGAAGTTTTACAGCACGTGCCAACGTTTGCGAGTTCGGTCGCAACAATATTGATTAATATTTCTGATACGATATAGTCATTGCTAATCCAGAAAAAAATAGAACAATATATACTTACAGAATTCTCAGATCAACCAGTGGCGCCAAAACTTCCGCTTCGAGTGCCTCGATTTGATTATCCCGTAAATCACTGCACCGACAGTTGAACGATTATGCATGTCCGTTTTTTCCGCAGAAGCAGAAGAAGAAGAGAACAAAGGAACAGGAAAGTTAGTGTACATGATGGCATTGTGTAACATTCAGTCGCATACTTACAGTTCCTTGAGGAATTTTAGATTCATAAAGTTTCCCTTTGTCAGTTTGATAATCTGATTTCCGCTCAGGATGCTGGCGATTAGAGTGGGTTAGAGAGAACAAAACTAGTTAGAAAATGGAACAAATGCAACCAGGAACGGTCAAGTGTTCCGTGATTTTTTTATGTCTTGTCCAGGTTTACAGAGGCAATGCTGCACTGTACTGCTTATAGGGTACACGCTCATATAGTTGCGGTACGTTGGAAGCAGAGATGCATGACATCACAGAGACATGTCTGTGAATTTACAGACTTCTATTTTTTTCACAGACATTTTTTTCCTTACAGACATTTACAGACTTTTTAGTTTTTTCACAGATATTTACAGACTTTTGTTATCAAGGGAAAATTTCAAAAATTATTTGATCACACTGTTTTACATCTTTAATCAAATTACACGATGAAGATGCTGATGCTAATGGAGATCCGATAACACTGGACACCGCAGTAAGAATGCTGATGAAACAGGTCACCGAGACAAAGGCGTTGATTGATGAAATGCGCAACGAGATAAACATCAAAATTGATGCTGTACAATCTGAGCTGGAGGGTAAATTGAATGCCGTCTCGAATGACATCCACTCTCTCAAAGCTGAGTGCGTTGAACGCGTTGACCCGAAGGGTTGACGAAATTTCCTCAACTATGGACAACCTGGGGAATAGGAACGAGCTCATCATCAGCGGGATCCCGTATCTCAAAGGTGACGACCTCCTAGCGCATTTTAATGCTGTGTGTAAGCAGCTTGGAATGGACGAGTGAACGCGGCCTTCGGTCGACATCAGGCGTTTCAAAACCGGAGCGATACCTCCGGAAACATGATCTTCAACTGCGTCATCTTGGAATCGAGTCGACGCGACGTGTGTACGTGATTGAAAATCTTACAGTGGCAGCACGTAAGTTGAAGGCAGCTGCTGTACGTCTGAATAAAGCTGGCAAGCTTACCTCGGTATACACCAAGCTGGAAGCTGTCCTCGTGAAACCTACTGCCACTGCACAAGCCATCGTCATTCAATCTGAGGAGCAACTCAATCAATTTGCGTACCTAATTATGTATATTATCTGTATTCCACTATCAGAGTTTGTTGAATATTGTAGATGTGAAGATTGCACTATGTTGAAAAATTGTATTCGTGTTTTCTGGCAGCCTCCTAAGAATTTCTTCCCTCCGTGCTCTCTATACCCTCGTTGAATAGCCACACCCTGACGAGCATTCACCGTGCAGTGATGAATGCAGTGCTTCTCCCCGGAAAACTAAATGTGTGTCACGGAAATGCCCAAAGTATCTGTGCCAGGAGGTCAAGCAAACTGGACGAAGTAAGAAACCTGCTTCAAGACTCCAAAGTCAACGTAGCATGTTTCACCGAATCCTGGTTGACACCAAAAGTTAGTAACCGCAGCATTGCCATTCTTGTATATAAAATCTTACGCAACGACCGACTGTACAGGCGTGGAGGTGGATCACTTACGGTGTAATAACATTTTTGGGACAGTACTACAACTCGATTCAGAAGGCAAAACAAAGTGCCTAGCGTTGGAGTTGGGACTTGGGTCGGAGAAACTGCTGATTTTAGCCGTTTACAATCCCCCAGAAAACGACTGTTCAGGTTTTCTTGCCGATAAATTAGCCGACTTTGCCACACTTTACGAAACCGTTTTGCTTATTGGAGATTTCAACACAGACTTGAACACCCGAAACAGTAAGCGAGCAGACTTCGAAACAGTACTTCAGAGTTTTGCGTTGACGTCTGTTGGTGACGAGCCAACCTTCTTTCACTATATATACGGGATGCTCACAGTTGGATCTGTTTATCACTAGCTGCATAGGTTCTGCGTTTTAATCAGGTTAGTTTCCCTGCACTTTCGCAACATGATCTGATGTTCGGTTCTTTGGATTTTGATGGTTCGCCTGCACCAATAATTCAAACGTATCGTGACTATGTCAATTTCGACGCTCTGGCTTTGGAAAACGCTATACAGTCCGTTGCATGGGACAATATGTACTCCATTGACGACCCCGACGATTTACTCGATTTCTTCAACAGTCATCTCAAACGGATCCATGATCAGTGTTTCCCGCTTCGAACAAACAGCGGCCGTATGCAGAATAACTCGTGGTTTGATTACAACATCAGTAAGTCAAGGACTGGCTGAATGCATCGTCGGATTCAAAATTACAAGCAAGACAACGATATAAAGTACTGAGGAATCGAACCAACGCGAATCAAGGACACCAAAGCACGTTACCTGCGCCGCTTCTTAGACGGCACAAGCGTCAGCGGACTGTGAATTCGACTCAAACGAAATAGTACATCCCAAGACATACCATGGCATTCCACACAAGCTTCTCCTCACAGTTTCTCCTTCCATCCTGTACAAGACTGGGAAGTTGTGAACGCAACATGGGACATTAGGTTGAACGCGACGGACCTCGATGGATTGCCGATATGCTTCATAAACATTGTTCTTCCATTAGTTCTACAGCAAATCACCTATATTTTCAACGCTCTCATTGAGTCTTCTACCTTTCCTGCGTGCTGGAAGCAAGCGAAAGTACTGCCACTACGAAAAAAAAAAACACATTTGAACACGTTTACAAATCTCAGACCTATCAGTATCTTGTGTGCAATGTCGAAGGTTTTTGAAAAACTTTTGAAGCAACAAATGTCGGCGTTCATTTCATTGTCATTGTCAAGCTGGGTTTCGCAGAGGAAATAGCATCAAAACTGCGACGGTACGTGTTTACGATGATTTTGCGACCACAATCGACAAGAAAGGGTTCGCCATATTGCTCCTGTTAGATTTTTCCAAGGCATCAAACAGGCGAGGTAACATCTGGCGTACCACAAGGGTCGGTAATCGGCTTTTGTTGTTTTGCTGCTACATTAACGATCTCCCAAGGGTTCTAAGATGGTGCTCAATTAGAATCTATGCAGACGACGTTCAACTATATAAATTGCTCTTTTGATTGTCGATTTCTCCATATTTAGGTGGTGGAAAGTTGAATCTCTCACTAAGATGTGCTCGTTCCCTCGCTTCTGGCGTGCAAAAGCACCAGTACTAAGCAACTAACAGATTATCACACTACATGGCATATAAGATAGACTCAAATTTAAAAAAATCTGGGGGCATCTCTGGTTGGAAGTGTTAATTGCTATAGTTGCGCAACCTAACGCTTCTAACGTACCATCAATATAGGGAGCGTTCAGCCATCAAAACTTCCTCAAAGTACCAAGGCTGCAAACAGCGTGTCGATTCATGGTTGACAATGTGATGGTCAATCGATATTATTCAGTCACCATTCGAATGGAAACCCGATTGGACCTGTCTGTGGTCAATCGGAACGGAAAAACCTGGAAAAGTCCCAAGTAAAATGCGTGTCGATTCTTGTTGACATGACTGGTTCTCAGCAATTTGATTACCAAATTTTAAGATTAAAGGGTGATACGGTCAAAATTTGGTCAATATCAACTTGACGTATTTCTTTCAATTTTGCATTTAAAAAACCTGAACACCCCTCATTTTGAAGGTGTGTGTGTGTAGAATGTTGCTCCTATTTTGATTTTGGAATTCACTCTTCAGTTGTCAAAATGCCGTCCAAGCAAGAAGAGCAGCGTATCAAAATTTTGCTCGCGCATCGCGAAAATCCGAGCTACTCGCACGCAAAGTTGGCAAAATCGCTAGAAGTTGCCAAATCAACCGTTACAAATGTAATTAAAGTGTTTGGGGAACGTTTGTCGACAGCCAGGAAGTCTGGATCGGGGGGAAATCGAAAACCGGAAGCCGCTGAGACGACAAAGAGAGTTGCCGGTAGTTTCAAGCGAAACCCTAACCTCTCTCTCCGAGATGCCGCAAATAAGCTGGGTGTATCGTCTACAACCGTGCATCGAGCCAAAAAACGAGCCGGACTATCGACTTACAAGAAGGTAGTGACTCCAAATCGCGATGATAAACAAAATACGACGGCCAAAGCGCGATCCCGGAGGCTGTACACGACGATGCTGACGAAGTTTGACTGCTTGGTAATGGAGGACGAAACCTACGTCAAAGCCGACTACAAGCAGCTTCCGGGACAGGAGTTTTATACGGCAAAAGGAAGGGGAAAGGTAGCAGATGTTTTCAAGCACATGAAACTGTCAAAGTTCGCAAAGAAATATCTGGTTTGGCAAGCCATCTGTACCTGTGGCTTGAAAAGCAGCATTTTCATAGCTTCCGGGACTGTCAACCAAGAAATTTACGTGAAAGAGTGTTTGAATAAAAGTCTGCTGCCTTTCCTGAAGAAACACGGTTGTTCCGTACTGTTTTGGCCGGATTTGGCATCTTGCCATTACGGTAAAAAGGCAATGGAGTGGTACGCCGCCAACAACGTGCAGGTGGTTCCCAAGGACAAGAACCCTCCCAACACGCCAGAGCTCCGCCCAATTGAGAAATACTGGGCTATTGTCAAGCGGAACCTAAAGAAGACCAAAAAAAACTGCTAAGGGCGAGCAGCAGTTCAAGGCAAACTGGCTTTCTGCGGCGAAGAAGGTGGACAAGGTGGCTGTACAAAATCTGATGGCAGGGGTCAAGCGTAAGGCCCGGCAATTCGGATTTGGAAAAGCGGAAGCCTAACTGAATATTTTTCCTGAATTTTATACTAATTGAACTTGAAAAAGAAATTTAATTTGATTTTTTAAATAAACGATTTCACCGATTTACACGCGTTTTACCTTGACCAAATTTTGACCGTATCACCCTTTAAGTCTTGGTATGACAGGTATGACTATCTACTTTTGAACGGAATAGACAAGTAACTGATTGGACTTGTGGTTGGCTAGTCGGAAGACAAAAACCCGTGAGCGGTGACTCTGCAGAACTTCAGATTTACCGGGAAAATTGTCAATTCCTGAAAGTAGATCTAAAGAGATCCACGGTTTTTTTATATTCAATCACGAGCAAAGATGAAATATGCAATAACCATATCAATTCTGCTACTTGAAGGGCAGAAAACGGTTCTCTAGATATCTGAAATCACTAGACAAATCGTAAATTCGTGAA